CAGCCGTACACTTACAGGGTATTTCGTATTGAGGTCTGATACGGGTCTGGGCGGGAAGAGAAAAGCAACGGCAGAAATGAAGACACGCATAAGACTGCTGCTTGCAGTAAGCGCAGCAGGGCAGCCAGACAGTAATCAGCACACTCGGATGCATCGCAGAAATATCAGTAGCAGGAGCCGGAGCGGGAGCCGGAGCGGGAGCCGGAGCAGGAGCCGGAGCGGGAGCCGGAGCAGGAGCAGACTCTGCTCTTCTTTTGTTTTCTACTTGTAATTTACATAAGTTTCTCATAGGCCTCCTGCTCACCGTCCCGTCTGTGTGTCTTCCTGTCGCCCTGCCGTAAATTACAATTGCGGGCCTCCCCCTGCTCCACCCTCAGGGCACGCATATGCCACGCACGCATCTCTCTCTCTCTCTCTCTCTCTCTCTCTGCCTGCCTTGTTTTTATGGAGCAAGGGGTCCTGTAATCAAGAAAAGACGCATCCTGCGCCGGCTGTGCGGCAACTAGGAAACTTTTACCGAAGCCCAGCCCCATATTTTATGGATATTTTCCCTTACGTTTTATTAAAAGAATAAACCAAAACTTTCATCCTTCTTCCTGGCCCACTTCTAGAGAGAAATTAACGGAGCACAGGACGGAGACAAAATATATATTTCAATAATAATTTCTGTCGCTGTTGTACCAGGAACTAACCGAAATATTAAATTGTTTTGAAGGACACTCGGTCCTGCTGACTGGCAACGTGGCACGTTCCAAATTGAATTTCGCTGTAAGAAAGTCGTAGCCAAGTAGCCCAAGGGAAAACAGTAGCAGACGCAAGTGCAAGTGGACAGGAAATATGGGACCAGCCGCAGCAGAAATCTTAACAGCAACAGAAAATGAGATAATACTCTAGGGGTTCCCAGGAAAGGAACAGAGCTACTCTTGGTACACTCGGCGATCCCAATGAACCTCATTAAATACGATAATTGATTTCAGCAGCATTCATTGCAGGCACAAAAGAGTTTTGCGGGGAGACTGCCTGTCTGCCAATAAACAGAACCCAATTAAATAACAATCATACGATACATTGAACCAGTTGACACGTTAATGACTTCGAAGTTTAAATGCAACATTATGCAAATGTATTTAATCACAATTTCCACTTGAACGGCATTAACAATGCCTATTAAGTATGATTAAGCCATAAAAACAGGAGGGAAGGAAAGAAGAGCTACCGGAAGCGGAAGCCTCCGTTTTATACCAGAATCGTATCAAAAATCGTATAAAACTAAAACTTTTCACAAACTAGACAGACTGATGGACAGATTTATTGGATGTGAGGCGATGGCAATATGGTTCATTTTCCAGACACGCTTTCAGTACACCTTGCGGGCTGATTTACCCTTGGAAAAGCACTTACAAAACAACAATCGTGGCAACACAATTTTTGGTAGTAGAAACAGGATCTTCAGCTATTGTTTTGTCTCTGGCATTGTTCGCTGGAAACAACAGAGGTTCTGGGAAAGAGAGCGAGTAATTTTGCTAAAATTTAATCATGCCACAGATGCCGCAGGGTGTGGAACAAAACAAAACTATTATATGGCCGTACACACGTGTACAACTCAGACCTAAGCCATCCCTGCATTTCGCCTGTTGTTCGTGAAACAAAAACCTATCGAAAAAAGGGTCAGCCGCAGGTGAAAGCTCTTCTTTATGGTTTCGTTTCTTTTTTTATATTTCTGTTTTTTGTTTTTTTGTTTTTTATAACCCACGCTGAGCTGCTTTCGAATGTAATGCAATCGATTAGCTCTCGGCGGTCGGACGGGCGGAAGGGCACAAAAAACATAAACCATGAAAGCAAACATCGGGCGACGGGCATCAAATATGCATTGAAATGGGAATTGCAAAGGACCGGACCCAACGATGCGATGCCTAGATAAATATTGACTCCCGCCACTTGGCAATGCACACATCCCCGTGCATACACATCCATATATGTATGTATGAATAGGCGGTATCAACGCACAAACCAGTATATCCTGGTATATAAAATTTCAATTAATTATGAACAGCTTAAAAGATATCCCGTCGTGTGCGTGGCTTTTGTTCTAAATGGATTTTTGTTAATGCGTTTGTGGCTTTCCGGCAATTTCCTTAAAGCGCTCTCAGGGGGGGGGAGCGGCGAATGCATCGAGTTGATGGTTTAAAAAAATTGATGTTCACACAGATGGGAAATCGTTTTAAAAAACTGAGGACCCTGGGCGTAAGCCTCTCAAAGCGGAACGAGCTCTACGCAGATTCATTTTGACAGTCAATTACGAGAGGATTACCCAATAAGAAGATGAGTCAAAATTAAAAGTAAAACCACTTAAGGGATAATATCTCATGATTCATGAACACACCATTTCTCTGAATTTTCAGGAGTCACAGCAGAACGACAAGTTAGACAAAGGGAGAAATGAATAAATTGATATGAGCACGACGAAATTAAGTAGAAAAACTCCTCTTATATAGCACACATGCTACACTCTGGTGGCAGGAGGCCGGAGGCAGGCAACTGTAAGAGTAATGAGCTTTTTGTGTGCTAGGCGCGCAATTTTTAAATGCATTAAAAAGTGTTACACTCGAGTGCCGCACATTTATCACACACTCCAGCACTCCAACAGCAAGAGGATAGGAGGATAGAGAGGGGGCAGAGTGGGGAGTGGGGAGTGGGGGAGAGCAGCATAATGGAAAAATCGCATTTAAATTGTTTGGCTCACAAATAAATTGTTATAATTCATCACTCAACTTAAGTTGGCGACGAAACGTCTCTGGGATAAATTGATTGACTTCAATTCAATTGAATTTTCGCAGCACAGCATCGCATGCCTTAGAAGGATACATACACCATCCCATAGCAAATTATTATGCTTTTTTCGTATGAGCTATATAGATTGCGGCCCGGCAATACTTTGACAAAAGCATGACAGACACTTTATTGGGTTTCGCTATTAATTTGCATGGATTTTTCATTGCGTATGCATGGCACAGCGATTCCTTTTGAAAGCCCAACAAAAAGCGCGGAAAATAAAAAAAATATATTGTACGTACGTACATAGAACGCGCAGTGGCAGCGAAATCAGAAAATTCCATTAATTTTAAGCAGTCAATCAAAATTGGCAGCTCCAAGTCGATTATATTATGCTAATGAATATCAAAATGGTAGGGGCTCGGGCTTGGACACTGAATCACTGCTGGTGCTGGTAGAGATCCTGAGCCCAACATACTCGCAGCCTCTGAATCATAATCAGCATCAGCATCAGAGTCTGAGTCTGGCGCAGACCAGACATAAGTCATCGACCAGCATCATCATTCATTGTTATTTATTATTTGTACGGCATACATGGCGTATGCTTGATGCCGTATGAAGAGTCAGACAGAGACTGAAAGGAAGTGCAACTTAAAGTGACTCTCGGATCCACTAGAACGAATCAACGTTGTTCAGCATTCTGCTATGTGAATTTGCTAATTGAGTGACATTTCATTAGTATATAGAAATGTATGAGGATTGATATTTATAAAGCTGTCATTCCAAGTGTAGCTAAATTGAGTTATGCCCGAGTGGCCATTCACAAGGCACGAACAATGTGTATGTAAATGCAGATCCCATCTACAGACCAGTCCAGTCCAGTCCATCTCGAGTGCTTTGTCAACTCAATTAACGGTTGATTTCTGGCTAAAAGCGGGGGGAAAACATCACGTTTGCCAGCTAGACGAGGCTCAATAATATTTGTTTATGCAAATTGGTTTTAATTACAACATAAACATGTGGCCTGACTCCTGCTCATGCTCCAGCCAGGCAGCCACATTCTGCCACACGACGTGCTCTGCGGCTAGTGGGGGGGAGGAGCGAAATGCTAGGCAGGCCTTGTCAAAATGTAAGATATTTTGAAATTTGCGGCTTCCTGGCGTTAATTTCCACAAGCCGCAGAAAAGATGAATGGCAGCCTAAGGCGAGGCAGATGAGATTTGGCGCAGCCTGTGACCTTTGAACTCCCCTCCATGTCTCCCATCTCCCACCTCCGTCTCTCTCATCTCTTACTCTTTCTGTAGCTATTAGCAATTTAATGGCAACATCATCAGCAGCAGCACACATTACACATCCTTCGGCATCGCCATTGAGTGGAATAGTTCCACATGCACACACACACACACGCACAAAGGGAGAATAATTGTCTGTGCGAGTGTGATTGTGTGTGCTTTGCCTATGTGTATGCGTTTGTATGTATCTTTCGTGCCACGTAACGCTTTAAAAACTCGTTTAGCCATGTTGTTGAACCCAAGAGCAAGTGGAAAACTAGCTCACAGAGACAGGAAAAACGAACTCTGAATGCGCTTACTCAAAAAAAAACTAAAACACAACAAAAACTAGATAAACCCAACACCAGGCCATAAACTTAGGACTCCACTTAGTTACAATACAATCTATTTCCAACATACTGCCCACCAACGCCTTCCAAAAGCCAAGTTACCTTCCCTTTGTGTTGTACAGAAAATGGAAATTTGAAAAATGCCTCAAACGCTCTCACACTCTGCCGCACAGGCACACACAGACACTTACACACGGACAGGGGGGCATACATACATAAAAGTTGATTTTGACAACAGAGCAAATAACAAATACAACAACACTGAGAGAGGGAAATGGTAACAAAATGCTATGGAAAACCGAGAGACGGAAACTGAATATCGAACACGTTTCGTTACTCTGTCGCTATGCCATATGAGGCGCTGCCCCACTCCGAGTGTATGTTTGCGTGGCAGCGCCTAGATTTATGCAGCATTTCATTTACATTTTGTGGATAGAGATACATTTACATACATGTATATACACTCATACATATGTACCAAACATATAGAGCAACTAAGCGCCCATGTTTAAGTGCTGCAATTGTAAATAGATTGCTGGGGCATGTCTCTCGCAACATTTATTTGATTCTTGGCTTACGGGTTTTTTGTTTCTTTTTTGCTTTTTAGCTATTGGGCGGTGACCAACATTGACTACATCCATTCGAGGACCAGCAACCGGGTCTTCATGATGATCTTCTGTGTGTGGACGGCGTCGGTGATTGTCTCGCTGGCGCCGCAGTTCGGCTGGAAGGATCCGGACTATCTGCAGCGCATCGAGCAGCAGAAGTGCATGGTCTCGCAGGATGTCTCCTATCAGGTGAGGCAGGAATACAGCCCCCCGCCATTCGGCTATTTGACTTTGATTTATTTACGCTTTCCATTGCGCAGGTCTTTGCCACCTGTTGCACGTTCTATGTGCCGCTGCTTGTTATCCTGGCGCTTTATTGGAAAATCTATCAAACGGCCCGCAAACGCATTCATCGTCGCCGACCGCGTCCGGTCGAGACGGCCGTCAATAATAATCAGGTAAAGTGTAATTTGGATAATCCCATCTCTGGCTCTGGGGCAAACAGGGTTCTATTTATTCTCTTCTCCGGATTTGGGGACTAAACTGTAGCTCAATACACAATACAATACAATACAAAACATGACGGAGACTTGGATAAGCCATCCACAGAAACACCCTGTATGCGGGAACTTATCTCATTTCGATGCAAGGCAATATCTGCTGAAGGGAAACGGCAACCCCCAATAGGCCCGAAATCCACCGTCTTGCGACCCCAGACCACGGCCAGGCCATTGCAATTATGCACTTCAACGAAGTTAACCGCGTTGCGGCCACAGCCACAGAATCGACCCACAGATAAGGGTCAGTCAAAGGCCAAACCGCAGGCAACAGCAGCAGCAGCAGCAAGAGAAACAGAAGATGCCACAGCCACAACCCGTTTATTGCACATGACTTGAGGCCTGGCCAGGGCCAACGACGCTGTTCCGCTCAAATATGCACAACATGCTCTCTTGGATTAGGGGGCCGATGGGAAGCCGAATGGGAATTGGTCTAGGACTGGGGATAGTAATTAGGCAACAACATTCCAAGTGATTAAAGATGCATTGCAAAGGGGCCTTGGACGACGAATACTTATATGTACGAATATATGTACTTGGTATTAAGATATGTATGCGCCACGTGGACATTAAAGCCATCTTCAGACTTGGCTCGAAAAGAGAAGAAAGTTGAGCGATAAGTGGCAGCCAAGGAAACTGACAGATTGTCTTGACTTGTTTGTGTCTGTGTGTCTGTGTGCGTGTGCTTGTGCCGGAGAATGTTTTTTTGGCCAGAAGTTTCTGGCTTAATGCGGCAGCTGGTCAAACTAATGCTCCCACACAGACGCACACACAGGAAAAACTCTAGATAAATTGCAATTTTGTTTTTCGTCCAGCATCCCGAAGTTTCAACAATTTTCAAGCAACGTAAAAGTTATCTTTGGTCTAGGGAAGGGAACCGCCTCAACTGGAGCCCAAAGAAAATTAAGATTCAGGTTAGGGTATCCGGCAATTGGTTTCTATTATTTTAGGCTGCTTACAGCTCTTGGTTTTTTTTTTTATGTCCAAGGATTTTAAGGCTGAGGCTGCGAATGGGGGGGAGGCTGCTACTTAGCTTAAGCTTAGTGCTTACTAAATTGAAAATGACCATTTGACGTAGAAATGTTTGCCAGCACTTACCTATACACGTGCACATGCGCACACATACATAGAAAAGCTATCCAAGGGATCCAAGAGAGTGGAAGAGAGGGCTGGCAAAAAGTCATTGGAATCACAAATTCAATGCGCAAACAAGACAAGTTGTCCACTATTTGCCAATCGTACACATGTCCTGCCCCATGTCCTGCCGCGTGTCCTGTCCCACGTGCTGGCCCCTTGTCCTTCCACAATCCAGCGCCACATGCGTGCCTTAGTTACATGTCAACACACTTACCCGTCCAGTTGTCCATTCGCCCCGTACACCCATACGCATCCATTTAGTGCCACTCACTCTAGTCCTTGCCATCCTCCTGTCCTATCGCCCATGCTACGGCATGCTTGTTGATTTTACAATATATTTACCCTACACACACTCGCATTGGGAATCCCTTACAGGGCAAGTGGGGAGTGCGTTGACTATGTGATTAATTTTGAAAGATTTTCCAGCAAAGTTCTTGCGGTTAAGTGAAGCACAGCCGAGATTCAATAGAAAGAGCATCTGTGGTACGACCCTCCTGATTTCCCTGTTAAACTCTCTTGTTATTCATTGGGTTAGTTTTTCTTCGTTCTCTGCCAGCTAAATGCTTTCAAATTGAAAATTGCTTTCCTGCTACTTGACGAGGGTCCCTTACATGGCGGGGCCGGCAGCATCACACAAAGGAAATATCCATAGAAGTCAACTCATCCATCCTCCACTCGCCGAGCCTTTCAGCTTTTGTGGTGCCTAACTATATAACGATTTCTGTGGGACAGGACATGGATTTTCAGTTAATTGCATTTGCTTTCCGTCTGTTTATTGGGCAAATTACTAAATAATTCGATGGTGCAAATGATTTAAACTGCAGTTGTGGCATAATCGAATTCCCAAAACTATCAAAAGTGGCCAATCCTGAATAATTTAGCTCTAATGTCACTCTCTCTCAGTCTCTCTCTCTCTCTCTCGCTCTCGCCCTCGCTCTCGCCCTCGCTGTGTGTGTTGTAATTTTAATTGAAATTCAGTTTTGGAAGCTGTTGGATCAGCATCACACACACTTTGATTTTGCAATTAGCAATGGCAGAGGGCAGGGGGCGGCAAATGGCAATTAGGGGTAAATTCGATCTAACAGGTATTATCTGTAATTCGGCTATTGGCACTATGTGAGAGCCGGCATCGAACCAGAAAATGTTATTAATAATACACCAACAGAGTCAGAGGCCGCCCAAGTGCCCAAGGACAATCTCCATATTGTACATGGCCGATGCGAGTCCGAGACACACCCACTCTTGTCCATCATCGTCGCCATCAACACAATTACATTTGCAACAGCATCTCGAACTGATTGCTCCCGATATTGACATTATTTTCATACCCAAACAAACATGTGACAAAGGCCGGCAAGGAGCCGGCAGACACATGGGTGAAAAGCATATTTGCCCAATGCGCCATCTGCGACACACGACGACGGCGACGACGACGACGACGTGTTTGTGTCTATCTCCAGAGAGGAAAATATTCATATAAACCAACGGAAAAAAAACTGCTCAACAAAAACAATGGATATTTTCCAAGAAAAACTCTCTAGGAAATCGGAGAAAAGAATGTAACATTTTAAAAGCCCTTTAAAAGTGGAAGAATAAGTGGAAATTCGGAGGAAGGAGGTACATTTTTAAAAGAAATTTACACAATTTTATTACGTACAAAATTTGATGGAGAGGGCTATTGTTTTGATAAAATAAATGAAGGAAAGAGGAAATACTAATACAAATGGAAACTTTTATGGAAACTGTACGAAAATGTTTTTGAAATGAGTACACAAAAAGGAAAGAGAAAACTTAATTATAAAATATGTTACGAATGTATTTTTAATTCCAAGAAATGTGTGTTCCTATTATTTCCATCACATATTGCCTATTGCATTTGATTTTGATTTTATTTATTGGAGATTTATTTTAATTTTCTAGCAGGCTGCCCTGCTGGCTGTCCTGCTGGTGCCGTGGTCCTGCTCAAGTCATAAATTCTGTTGGCCAGTGTAGTTAATACCAGGGCATTCTTGTCACAGACAGGGCCGACATAAATCGCATGAAAGGCACATTATTGAATACAGGCGGCACACACAAATGTGTTTCTATATACGTCTGTATATATTTAGAAAGCTAAACACATGTCCCGGCAAGAAAAACAATTAAATAAGAAAACAATTTACATAAATTAGCCAAAGTGCCAAAAATGGCTAAGGACAAAGACAGAGAGACAGACAGGAAGACACGAAGACAGGAAGACAGAAGTGTATCGTTTATGCGAACGCTTAAATACAAAAACAAACGGAATCAAAGAAGGCAGAAAGGAGGCGGGGAAGCGGGGTAGAAGTGAAAGAATGGAATAGAAAGCACATCTACATAAAAGACACATTGGGGCTTGTGAGGTTATCCTTATCGCTATCGTTATTGCCGGCCTGCTGAAAAGTATGCTACACAAATGTGGAGGGCGCTTATCGCTCTTATCTCCCAATACACGCACGTGTCTGCATCTGTGTGTGGCATTATTTGCTTTGGTATTTAAGTAACACGCAAGTGCCTCAGTACTTAAGTTTTGCGATCTTCCAGTGACAGCATTTCCCCAGAGAGAGTGCGAGAGAAGGCGGAGAGCCCCGCCAGAGGGCTTTTCCTGCTCTCATTTCATGGCAAAACAATAATGTTTCGAATGTTCAACCGAATAAAGAATCCAGCAGAGATTTCTTGGCGTTGGATCTAGCAAAAATTTAACCCGAATGATGAACCCCCTCTTTGCGTGTTATTTATTAATTCCCCCAAGGGCAGGTCCTGCGCCTAATTAAGCTTAAACTCTTTAATATTTAATAAGCTATCTGACTGCCCGTAGCCCATCTCTGGCTGTTCCGCCCGAGAAAAAGCACCCACAAGACACTTGAGGAAAAGTTTGTGCCCTTGGCCGAGAAGCAATTTCACCCACAAAATAAAGGTCACATGCATAGAGGAGCTGTAAATCCATTTAATACTATTTGCGCAAATATTCACACCATTTCTCGGATGGGGCGGCACACACTCGAACCCTTTCCTGGGACGGCTCCTCAAATTTCCGCACACGAAAGCAAAATCAGCATAATTTTATTTATTTAAAGCAATATCGACTTTCGAAAGGGTCAACAGCCACCACGACGAAGGCGACGACGACAAAGATGACGATGACGATGCTGTGTCGAGCCAAAAGGTTCGACTACTCAATTACTTTAATTTGGTGGGATTGAAGGCAACAAAGAAGCACGGCAAAGATTCTTACCCGAAAGTAAAGCAGAACTTTGATTACACTGTCTTCAGAGAGTTCCGTAGTTCCATTACCGACATTTCATGACTGAAAGGAGATCGAAATATTCCTACAACTTCCAGTTCATGGCTAAGAAGGGAACTGGAATTCTATGAATTATTAATCCTTCAATATTAAAACACTTCATACTGTGCCCGAGCTTCTTTCCTTGGGTTCCGTAGTTCATTCTAAATACCCTGCCAAAAATAAGAAAAGGATACGCGGCTGTTGGCAAGAAGAAAAAAAATCAAAGAGGTCAAGCGCTGGGAGCAGTCGAACGTGAAATTTATTTCAGGCAGGGCGTGGCCTTCTGGGTGTGGGAGAGGATGCTCCTGGGTGACTGTAACAAATACACACAATTTATTTACGGGAGGAAACCGACTTACATATGCATATGGCAGCATCGGCAGCGGGGCTGAAGGGCGAAGAAGGGGCCCCGGATCGGATGGGATCTTAAGGCTCAGGCATTGGCGTTTGATATGCGTACAAATTGCGGTTTATTGAAGCGTGAGCCCCAGAAAGCAGAAAAGAAAATGCAAATTTACCAAACCCCACCCCACCGCACCCCCTTAATAATGCTGTGCGAAGAAGTATGAATTTAATTTGAAGTCATGTACAGGTCAAAGGCGGAGTGCAAAAATCAATGCAGATTGAAACTATAGAAACAAAGTTCTCAGGATTCCCATCTCCCAAACTCCTCCTTCAGTCACTCACTCATTCCATCTTTATGTTGCCTCTCTTACAGCCGGATGGAGGTGCGGCAAGCGATACAAAACTTAATCGACTGCGTCTACGCCTTGGAAGATTCTCAACGGGCAAGACCAAGGGCGGAAACCTAGCCGGAGGAGCTGGAGGAGGGGCGGCAGCAGCAGCAGCAGCGGCAGGAGGCGGTGGTGGGGGCTCCACTGGCACGGCCCTGTGCCTGGTCGAAGGCAACTCAACAAATACGGTCAACACTGTGGAGGACACCGAGTTCAGTAGCTCGAATGTGGATAGCAAGAGTCGTGCTGGCGTCGAGGTATGTATACACGAGTATGACGAGATGAGCAGCAGAACACACACTTTTTTGGGTTTAAAGCAAATTTCATAACGCCTGACATGTGCCCAACGATCTGAGCTGAGGCTTTGCTTCCTGTTTTCCAGAGTGCAGGCACGCACACGTACAGACACACACAGATATGGGCTGACCAAAAATAAACCCACCAACACCAAGCAAACGGATGGGATGGATAGATGGGTGATGGTAGATGGTAGATGGGAGACGACTACCACACACTAACATCTCCATTCCATCTCCAGCTCATTTCTCGCTTTATTATCCAACAACCATATTCCCGGCCCTCTGTTTCGCCTACCTTCGGGGGATTCAAATGATTTTTCCTCTTGGCTACCTTTTCGGGAAGTTTTTCTTTATATTTGCCTGGGGAACCCTTCGGGTTCTTTGCCTCTACTAATGTCTCATTAACCTATCTCTCATCCCAGCAATATGCACTTGAGAATTCCGTGAGCAACATTTCCAGATAATGATCTCGGGTGGTCTAGTAGGTATTACAGAAAACCTCTTCACTCCAGGTTTCTACCGTAACATATTCCAGTGGATTCCAAATGTTCTCTTCTAATTTACAATAACTTCCATTGTAATAATAGAGTATACATCAAAATCATTTGAAAATTAAGGGATTCTGGCTAATGTAGCCGAAATGTTGATTGTATTTTGATGGGTGGGCATAGTCTTAAGTGCACGGATAAGGAATCCGGCCCGGGGGCGATGTCCCGGCCACTTGAATCGCAAATCCAGGCAAATTACCCGCCACTCGACAGAAATGTCAGCGATAAAATGCAGGCAAAGCTTTCTGTTTATTGGTTGGGGGGTTTGGGCAGGGTTTGGGCAGGGTTCGGGTACGTTGGGTGGGGATTGCCGGATACCAAATTTGTATTTAGCCGCATTTTATGTACTTCAATTTTGGGGGCAGCGATTTTATGGCTAAAAAATAATCCAACCAGGACCACACATTCAATAATAACACACATTAAAGCAGAGACGAAAAAAAACCATAAAAGAGCAGAGCCAAAATAAATTGCTTGAACGTTTTGTTTGCATTGCCACAAGGCAGGCAGCAGGCTCCTGTGCTGCTGGAGACGAGGTGGCAGAGTAAAGTCGAGTGGTCAAAGGTCAGGGAGCAGGGAGCACGGCAGGACAGAGCAGGAGCCAAATCGCCAGGTTCGTGCCGGTTAAGTAATAGCAAAGTCAAATATAAGCTGTCACAAGGATACGCTTCCTTCCCCACACAGCCAGACAGAGGGGGTGGATAGAAAGAGAACGAGCGAGTCCAATGAAAACAAAACAGCAACAGGAGCCAAAGTCACTTAAAGGTATATTAAACAGAAGGTCAGACAGTCGCAGCTTGAGGCTTCACTAATTTGTTTGAAGCTCCCTCTCTCTCTCGTGTATATAATAGAAAACACATTCGTGGTAGGCCTCACCTTCTGCGGAATATACCTTTCAACTGGAAGTGGTTAGACTTTTGGCTTCTTGGATCCCAAACCCTTGGATTCTGGGGCGCCTAACAAGGCACTCAATACGCTTGAGTAATTGAAGAAAATATGTTGATGGCTTATGGCTAACAGCTTTCGTTTCCATTCGCTTGGCCAAAATAACAACGCCAACTGTATTTGGTATTTGGTATTTGCCTTTGCATTGCTTTCCCTCTGTCCCCGTCCACGGTCCCTCCCACACGCACACAGTCTTGCCCATAAGATTAAATATTTACTTGGAAATGGCTTCTGCACACCTCTCACACTCTCTTTCTGCCCCCCTGCCACCCTCCCCGTTTGCAAATAAGTGGACAGCCGAATAAATAAGCAAACACACACGCAGGCCCACAAGCAAATATATAAATTTATTATTATAGTTGTGTGTGTGTTAAATATGAGAAAAAAAGTCCAAACAAACTCCGTGCATGAGCTTGTTCAAACAAAACACACACCCAAAGTAAATAAAGGAGGGCGAAGGCAAAAAGGTGTTCAAATAAATGGAAAAAAATGCAACAAAAGAAACTTTTTGTTACGCACTGCACTGCATAATTAATGCATCCCTGTCCCCACAACAATCACCATCTGTTTGGGGTGCAAAAATTAAAAATTCTTCAAACTGCACTCCCCATTGTTCGCCTTTGTTCCATGCCTCTGTAATACTATATTCTGTCTTCACGATTTGAAGCTTCGCTGGCTTCTGCTTTGATTTGTCTTTACCTTCGGCTTTGCTTTCTCCTTGCTTCTGCCTCTTTTTGCCACGAACCGTTCTCGAAAACATCGTACGATTCTATGGCGTCGTTGGAAAAGAGAACTTTGCGAAACGAGATTGAAAATTGAATATGGTCGCAACTAGTATTTGTTGGCATTCGCATCACAGCATTACAATGGCAGTAACAAAAGGTTACCAACACACACAGTCCCATATGGTCCCTATTTCGCTTTTGTCATGGACAATTTGCCAATAGCCATTGAATTTAATGTCCAGACCTAAGCCCGCCCATTGTTGGCAAGTGCATTTTTTACTTATTGGCGAATTTGAATGTCTTCCTGTTGTAGTCCCCGTGGCAGATCGACTACACGCTTATAACAATATGTTTCGCAATATATTATGGTATCAAAGTCGTTAAATTTATTTGGTTCAGGCACCAACAGGCCATTAATTGAACGTGGCTTATTCCTCTTTATGTACTAGTGTATTTACCTTTGGTCGGCAACATGCTGATGCTATTAAACGGAGAAAATTAATTACTTATTGATCATTTGTTCCACATTTGTTGTGTTCTGATTAAAAATAAACCACCGATAACGATATTATTGATACAGCACTATCGATAAGACCAGTTTTACTTCAGACTAGTCAAATCTCAATCAAATACGTAGCTTAACATTGCATTTCACGATCATTCTGCATATTTAAATGAATAATGATCGTTCGTGGCAATACTATCGGCTGCTCGTGATGCCAGGCCACCATCCCCAATCGTTATCGCTGGTTGTGGCGCCAGATGGCCGCAGACACAATTTATAACACATAAAGTTCATTTTAGCACTTTACGCTCCTGCACATAATGTAGACAAGCCGTTGGGCCACTTCCGACTTGCCCACACCTATGCCCGGCTCAAATTACAGGTGATTATGTGAATTTTAGTGCTAGGCAAGCGCCCCGGACCCCGAACCCGACCGGCACCTCAAATATGTATGTAACATCCGACAAATTGGCTCGAGTAGTCAGCCCTTTCCGCAGGCACTCTACTGTGTGGCGCTGCCTGATAAGCAGAAATAGCCTTTGGAGCTGGGGATTGTGGGAGGTCGCCCCAAAATGGCCAACATGCTTAACGAAAGCAAATATTTACACACTGATTTTATTCATTTACAAAATTTATAACCTCAACTGGTGGCGGTAAAAGTGCCATGAAAATTGACGAGCCAGCCAGCTGCGAGCCAGGGCAGAACCGGCGGCAGAGCCCTGCTAAATAAATTTATGAATGCAATCCGAATGATTGGTACGCGCGTGTGGCCAGCGCTGATTTAAAATGCTAATTTGGCGTATGAAATCTGACTTTGGCCGTCGTAAAGTGGGTCTGTGAGAGACGATTTAAATGTTGAATTTCCCTTGCAGGCACCCAGCACATCGGGCAACCAGATAGCCACCGTCTCCCACCTGGTGGCCCTGGCCAAGCAGCAGGGCCAGGCGGCAACAAAGTCGGTGGCAACCAATGGCGCTGTAGAGATTGGCAACGGAAAGCAGGAGGCAGCAGCCACAACCGCAACATCAGCAACGCCGGCGGTGGCCACGGGCACAGCATCAGCAGCAGCGTTAGCAGCAGCATCGCCCACAGAGGATGGGGAGGACAGCGCACTGGGCAAGGCGAATGGCTCTGGGGTTGCCGTGGAGGTGCTTGAGGATCCGCAACTGCAACAGCAGCTGGAACAGGTGCAGCAGATACAAAAAACTGCCAAATCCGGTGGCGGTGGGGCCAGCACTTCGAATGCCACCACGATTACATCGATATCGGCACTCTCCCCGCAGACACCCACTTCGCCGACAGGGGGTGAGGGCGGCCCAGTGGCACCGCAGGCCGCCGGTCCGATGACGGCAAGAACCAGTACGCTGACAAGCTGCAACCAGGAACATCCGCTGTGCGTCTCTACCAGCTCCATACCCGTGACGCCCGAGCCGCGATCCAAGCAGCACCCAGGCTCGGCCGCAGCCGGAGCACCCCATCCGACGGCGTCCCATCAGCAGCTGTCGAGCATTGCCAATCCCATGCAGAAGGTGAACAAGCGCAAGGAGACGTTGGAGGCGAAGCGCGAACGGAAGGCGGCCAAAACACTGGCCATCATCACGGGCGCATTCGTGGTCTGCTGGCTGCCCTTCTTCGTGATGGCCCTGACGATGCCACTGTGCGACGCCTGCCAGATCAGCGACAGCGTGGCCTCGCTCTTCCTCTGGCTGGGCTACTTCAACTCCACCCTGAATCCGGTAAATAACCCAGAAATATACAAAAGCACATACATATATAGGTTAGGTTAGGTACATTGTTTTTATTGTAATTAGGTCGTGGATAACTTGTCCTCAGCAGCAGCGGTGTGGAAATTAGCGTCCGTATTGCAGGTAATCCCACTTCTTGTTGTCCAAGGGGCACACATTACGTTCCCGCAGCCAGCGCGAGATGCAGTGGTAGTGGTAGACATGCTGGCATGCACCCGTAACAACGTTGCACTGCTCGGGCTCGATCTCTTCTTCACTGGCCTGGCACTCGATGCAAACGTTGTAAGTTTTGTTACGGCAAATAGCACAAATTTCGACGTCAACGTCCCAGCGCCATGTGGCCATGGCGTTCCACTTCTTCACCACAAAACGTGGCATTGTGCTGTTCATTGGCACACCCTCATCGACTTCCATTTTACATTCGTCCGATATTTTTATTCGCCAATTTTAAAGTTGCCTGCAATCAAATTGATGCGTTGCAGTCCGAGTCTCGAAGGAAAAAGAAAAGTGAAATTTCTAGAAGTCAAGGTTATTCTGACAGTTCAAGACAAAATGGCGTCACTTTAGAGCACATCAGAAAAAATACCGAAAGAAGAACTAGTTCTTTTAATCACCTTATCTTGGATTTAAATATGATTAAGCTTAGCTTAGCTTTCTTTGAAAATTCCATTGTTGAGGGCGTTTTTTACTTTATAATAAAGGGGAATTTGTTCTGCGATTTTCTTGTGCTCGTCGAAAATTCGAATGTATGTTGTATGTTTCTTTTGATAACTTTTATTACCCAACCACAACTTCAATTTAACCTAGATTAATACTAACTATTATTCTCACCTTTCAGGTTATCTACACCATCTTCAGCCCGGAGTTCCGGCAAGCTTTCAAGCGCATTCTATTCGGCGGACACCGACCAGTCCACTATCGCAGTGGGAAGCTTTAGATAGTGCATGCGAAGAGGCGAAGGTGAGTCCCTGGCCCAGATACGAGTATGGCTGCTGCTCTTAAATTGTCGCGACTGACCTATTCAGCTGATCCGAGGCACACAAAATTTCATTCCCTTTTATGTGTATCCAATTTTAGTCTGCAGTTTCAATTTTCAATCCACGAGCCCCGATATTGATATTGCTCCCTTCGAGTGGAGTGTTTATTCGAATTGGAGGTCATGGATAATGGTGCTTCTCGTTGGGGCGCAAAGTGTTTTGCATTTGCCGCTTTTGGCGTTCAATTTTCGCTGGCATGACGGCGACAACGAGCCACATTCGCATTTGGCAAGCAGACAAACACCATTCGGCTGCCATGGCGTGTGGACGGGGAGGGCTTGAAACAAATTTCAAACTGTTGGGAGGGAGCTAAACTTTCAGCAGGCAACAGGACGACGGTCGGCTGGGCTGGGCTGAGCTGGGCTGGCCACTCAACTGTGGCTAAAATGAAAGTTTTATCAAACCTTTATCGGTACTGTCATCTGCATGGGACGATTTGGATTCGGTCAATGCAGCCACCGGATGGGATAACACAAGCCACGCCAGACGCCAGCGGCCATTCGAATTATGCCACAATGCGCATTACATTCGCATGTTCCCAGAGCCCCAGAGTCTCTCCGACTGCCCGCCCCATACTGCTAGTGGAGGCTTATCTACAAAGACGAAAGGGGGGCGCACAAGTTCTCCTCCTAGCAACAGCTCTGAATAGTTCCATTTGCATTTCATTGGGTGGTGAGGAGAGGGGCGGGCGGAGGCCCAGAACTGGAGCTGAAACCGACCCATCTGCATGTGGCAGCAGCAAAATCCCTGCCATTCATCCATTCATTTCCAAAGGCAACACGAAAGTTAAATTAAGTAACATTAATTTCGAAAATTTCTGCTAAGTTTGGCGCCTGTGCATTTGAATGAACTTTTCTGTGAATAATCGTATATAAAAGTTTGCCCCCCCCCCACCACCCCCACACACTTTGCTAATGAATCTTGCAAATTGGACTCTTTTCCAGACGCTTCTGCTAAGCCTGCAAGTGGATGCAGGTCTTACCTCTTCGGCTATACACAACAGCTTCGGGGCAGAGCAAATCAGACGTATACTAAAGATGACTTTAGACGATGCATGGGAGGCACGCCTGGAACAACCCAACCCCTAGATCGTACGAGTGTAAATAGCTAAGCTAAATGTGGTTAAATTAATGTTAACGTTTACCTATGCAAATACGAGTACTATATTATAGTTAATTCGCTGTTAGATCTAGCTTAATTTATAAATGCCAAGTGGAGACTGTTTTTGGAAGCAAACTGAAGCGTTGAATTGATTGAAATGCCACCAAGAGATACAAAACACCTATATATAATCAAAATAATTAGTTTTAAGCGGCTAACCCCCCATACACGAGTAAATATATGTACCTATATACTATATATATACACATACATAGAGATCTCTAATTCCTAAACTTTTTATGTGTGTTTTGAACTTGATGTGAATTGTATATGTACTTAGACATAGCTCTATAGATGATAAATAGCATTCCCTCTCTCTCTCACTCTCTCTAACTCTTCTGCTTCGAGGGAACGGGTCATGGGACGTGAAGGGAGGCCAAGGCATTGGAATCGTTATAACTGAAGCGAGTACTCGATTATGTATATTGTATATGTATATTATAGCTATATGGCGCCTCTATCTAGCGACATTTAATGTGTGCAATGATCTGAGCGATCGATTTGAGCATCGCACTATACTGTAGGTAATATCGATAGATTCTATTGTAAAGTAAATTACTCGCGTTGTCGAACCCAAAAACAAGAAACCAGTTTAAATGAAATTTAAACGTATTGTTAAAGACACACATATTTAAATTATACGAGTGTATGTACATTTAAAGCTGTTGTACGATTACTAAATACTAAGGACGAGTTATTATGGTTATTATGGGCAAGGATTTCTTTGAATAAGATCGCATATTGTTAGCAGAAGGTTCGTTCGCCTAAGGTGGCCGCGAAAACTTGTAATATTTGAAGAGCAAACTACTTTCGGGAAAAATGGGTAAAACATAATTAGCAAAACCAAGCAGACACGCAACAAATAGAGTGCGGCATATTCTAGTTAAGATTAAGCGAATATCACAATGTTTTACAAACTACTCGAAATCAAAATCAAAACTCTACAAAATCCTTAAGCAGAAACCATTTCTTAGCCGCTAAGTGTTTACAGATACATGTCTATATACGGATAACAATAGAACGAAAATCAAGTCCGACTTGTCCCATGCCAAACGATAGTTCTGAACAACACCCACACCACTTATCAATCAAAGTCTGCCCAAGGCACCTGTTCATTTCGATTATATTGATTTCAAATGTTTATCCTTCATTTCAAACATTGGCGCGCATTAGCAGAGAACTATTGCTTGGCATGAGAGACAATCGCGACTTGGAACCACTCATCCAACAGCATAAGTTATATTGTACTAACGAAATTACTATAAACTACATTGGCTGCAAATTAAATAAAAATTAAATTTCATTCAAATGTTATTTTGCTTTTACCACATTTATTTCCGTCTCAGCTCGAAAAAAAGGTAATGTTTGTTGGGATCTCGACGCAGCCGATTGCCGATTTAGCCAATCTGTGGTCCCCCTCTAAACACCACATCACGGTATCGTAGTGTTTTAAAAAGGAAGGAAACATCTTCTATAGAGCCAGAAGAAAACAAGAGCCAGCGGATACACTGAAAGGGAGGAGCAATGTTACATCTCGTTGGAAATATATTTACGGTGTCGAGAAGACTAATGATCGCAATCAGATCAGAGTCTGCTAGGGTTTCCATTTTACGCTGAAAAGAGACGATTACAAAATTAGGCATGTGATTAATCCAGTATGAAACAAAATCCAGTGCGAGTTTCCACTTTCAGACTAGATGTAACATAAATAAAGTATTTTTGTCATCTTTTAGTGGGGCTGTGTTAATTTTGAAATCGATTCGGAAATGTATGCTGATGAAGAACAGGAGTACATATAGGATATAAGCTTTCTTCTGTCTTTAAGGGGGTTACAGTTCGACGAACATACAAAAATCACTTGTACTCTAAAATTACAGAGTATACCAATTAGTTAAGTATCGCTTGTCATCAGCACCTCATTCATCAGGTATGGCATTGGATTTAATTTGGCACTTATATCGGTCAACGACCCAATTCATTAATGATTACGTGAGGTAAGCCCATCGTCATAACCACTATCTGAAAGCATACTACCATACATACTGAGCAAAATAATAAAGAGATGATGCCTGCCCGCTCTTTGGTTAACTTGAGTGGTCCAAGATAAAGTACAACCAGAGAATCCGGCAGTTATCAGCGAGCTGCACGGCCAGCCAGTAGAGTCCCTAGAGTCAGTAAGGCGTTGCAACACCAATGGCCCAAGTACTAGCCACTTCGATTAGATGGAGCCGTATCAGAAACAGCTACAGAGCAATATCACAAGCAATAGCTCAGCCTTAGTCAACTGTATAAATACCGACGACATTGTCACGGCCTGAGCAGACGGCCATGGCCTTTACCCAACTACGATCGTCACTCTCCTCCACGCTCGGGCAGTGGCTGCTCCTGGCAGCACTGGGTGTAGGCTCCGGCCTCGGCTCTGTGGGCGCCTACAGCTCGGGCGACCTGCTAGCCTGGTTGCAGCAGAGCAATTTTGGCTATCAAGTCCTTCGTCAAGCCATCAGCGAGAACAGCACAAGCGGCTCCGAGGCAGCCTGCCTGGAGGAAGTGCGTCTCCTGCTTTTGGCGGCAGAGGCCAAAGCCCTTCCTGCTCTGCGTGGTAAGACTTCTGCTACTACCGCTACTGCCTGCTACTGCTACTGACCCACATTCTTCTGTCCTCAAAATCACCGTTTGGCAGTCCTGGACTCTTGGGGAAAGTTTCCGCACGGCCTGCTGTATGGCCACTTTATGGACATGGGCAACTATGAGTCCTGCCTGAGCAAGGGCCCAATCGGCAGCGGAATCACCAAGTACTGCCTGACGAGCATTCAGTTCGAGAGTCTGCTGCTGGAGTCGGTGGGTGGGTCGGATACCCTAACATTGGGTATTGGCACCTGTATTCCAGCCGCCTGCAGCGCTTCCCAGCTCAACAGCTGGATCAACGACTACCTCCAGAAGATGTTCGGCCAAAATCCGGACTTGTATACGGGAATCACACTGGTTCACGAACAAAACTGCGCTGTAGCTGAGGGCGAGCGCATGACCGGACTGGACTGGTTCGCTGTGTAAGTACAGATGGATCGCAACAGACAGCAGAGACTGACGTAATGGATAAAAGGGAAAGCACAGATACAGATATCGGATGAGCCAGAGCCCACCAATAATTTTTGTTTGAGTTGTTTGAAGTTGAAGGTGAGATCGGGAGAGGTCGTTGACTCACGCCGAACTTAATTAAATTGTTCTTTACAAAAGTATTGCACAATTCGCTTTTGAGTAACAGGTTGAGTTTGAAGTATACCCCCGGCTTGATGTGAATAACAATGACAACATTCGAACAATGAAACAGGTTTTAAAACCCTTTAATAATGTTTAATTATATTTCTGACTGCATTCGACATTTGACCTATTTTTAGTTACCCAATAATGTGTTATTTCTAACCATCATTTATAATTTTTCAGTGCTGTTCTTGTCCTCTTGACGGCTCTGGTTTTCCTAGCCACCCTCCTAGACCGTGCTAAAGGTAAGCTGATAAATATGTATATATATAGCTAGAAAAATGCATCCATGTCGATATGGCACATATAATATGGTAACTCCTTCCATTTTATTTCCCATAACAGCTTCCAACAAACTGCTGAGCTCCTTCTCGCTGCGACAGAACCTACCCCAGCTGTGGAAGATCTCAAGCACGGTATCGCAGCATGTGATACCATGCCTTCACGGCATTCGCTGCCTGACGATAATCTGGATTATACTCGGCCATGGATACATGTTCCTGCTGCTGGCGCCCAATGTGAACGCGTACGAAATCATTGCCTGGGCCCAGACTCCCTACTCCATGGTGCTGCAGAGCGGTACCATCTCGGTGGACACGTTCTTTCTGCTCAGCGGCCTGCTGCTGGTGATGAGCACCTTACGAGAGCTGGAGAGGTGTGTTACTCGTGCTGGCGAAGACTTAATAGTATATATATTCGGTAATGCCCTTTCAGAACATCAGGACGGCTTCATGTTCCGCTTATGTACCTCCACCGTGTGGTGCGTCTGACCCCCGTCCTGGCTTTGGCAGTCCTCTTCTTCATGACGCTCTTTCCACGCCTGGATAGCGGACCACTCTGGAAACAGTTCACAGCCTCCTCGCAGCTCTGCAGTGACACCTGGTGGGCCACTTTGCTCTACGTGCAGAACTACGCCGCTCCTGGACGGATGGTAGCCGGCACCCCCTCTCCCCAACGTTTCTGTATTGACTATTTCGCCTCCATTGCAGTGCCTAGGCCACTCCTGGTATTTAGCCGTCGACATGCAGCTATACGTCATTTCGCCCCTCCTCCTGATCGCGCTCTACAAGTGGGGTAGAAAGGCTGCCGGCGCTATCATTCTGCTCATCCTTCTGCTTTTCGCCTGCCTCTTCAGCATTATCATGCTGAACGAGCTGCAGGTCTTTAGCCGCAACGGGTGAGTCTCATTGGGGCTCTGGTCGGGAAGTGGCCGAGGTCTAAAGCCTCTTTTTAACCACAGCAACCTGGGGGAGGACAGTCCGCAGATGCGACTTATTTACTATACGACACATGCCCGGGCCATGCCCTGGCTGATCGGTCTGCTCTTCGGCTACTATCTGCACAGCCAGGGCGGTCGCCGGCATCGCCTCTCCAAGTGGCTGGCATTGGTGTTATGGATACTTGCTCTCAGTCTGCTTGCGACTGTGATCTTTGCCGTCTATCCGTACACGCAGTCCGGTGCGAACGAGATCTCACCGCTGGCTGGCGCCTTCTATCTGTGCTGCGGCCGCATCGCGTGGCCCCTGAGTCTGTGCTGGCTTATATGGGCGTGCCAGAATGGGGTGGCGCCCGTCGTTAACAGCCTGCTCAGCTGGTCCTTCTGGCAGCCCCTTTCCAGGCTATCCTACTGCCTGTACATCTGGCACCTGATGGTGGAGACGGTCAACGTGGCACGCAGCAAGACAAGTCTGCATTTTTCCAACTACGACGCAGTAAGTCACTGGGTAATACGCCATTGTTTTTCGAGCATTTCCAATTGGATTCTCCCTTGCAGATCCTTCGTTTCTGGTCGGACTTTGGTATAACGTTGTGCGTCTCCACATTGATGTATCTGTTCGTTGAGGCGCCGGTGGCTCGACTCGAGACCCAATTGCTGAGGAAGCGTCCAAGGCAGGAGACGAGGTCCCCGAACACCGGTATTGATGCATCCCCCTCGCCAGATACTGCACCACCGACAAGTATTTCACGGCAGAACCTAGTCGTTCCTTGAGAGAGCTATCCTATTGTCTAATTTTACGACTCGGCGTGTTGCTCTAAGTTTCAAGTTCCTTTTTAATTTATAAACGAAAATTGCTTTTGAAAACTTAAAGTGCGCAATGTATTTTCTTTAGCTTTTTGAATCGACCATGACGCTCAGGCTATGTCTATAAACATCAGTGCATCCATAAGTATATCCTAAATATATGCAGGCTTTTGATGGTATTCCGCATGTGTCATTAGAAACAAGTTTCATTCATTTTTATGGCAATATATAGGGCTAAGGTAAACCCTCTTGTTGGCAGTCGGCTTTTATCGCCGTTCGATAAGGTTACGCTATGTACATATATCAGTACTCGCTGACGACACCGCTATCAGGCATTGCCCCAATTGTGAAAACTAAAACTAAAACAAACAAAAATCAGCCAAATTCCCCTGCGAGTGAATAGATGACACAACACTTCGATGGGTCGTGGAGTGGAACCAGCCCACTTGCACAGTGCGCGCGATATGTGAGCAGACTTCTGGTTTATATTTCTGTCTCAGCAGGATAAAAGTTAATGGATATGTTGCGCTGGCCAACGCAGTGGATTTTCGATTTAGTTAGGTGCAGCTTGAACAACCTGTCTTCGCCCTCGACGCTCCACGTCATCGGGGCACCGTCCTCGAAGTGTTTCACAAACGTAGTTCCTTCTAGATACATGTTGAGGGCTGTTGCACGATGCCGGGCGATTCGCGGTGCTGAGAATGTGTAGTGCTGAAATCCGAAGCTGCAGTCTTCAAATGCAATCACATCAACGTGCCTGCAGAGTTGAAGGAAATGTCCAAAGCAGTCCGCATCTTCTATATTGCACGAATAGAAGAGCAAACGCTTGATGTGGCGAAAGGGATGCGTAATATTACACCTTGAAGGAAACAGATTTTTAACGTAATTCAATACGAATGTTTCAACATCCAACTGAAGGCGTTCAGCATCAAAATATGAATTGCAAGCGTTGTGTACTTCCAGTTGTTTTAATCTGTGGCGACCTACAGCCTTCAACTTTTCGGCGATATCGAGCAGCTTACTGGGATTATTTTTTCCACGGATTGTAAGCTGTTTTAGGTTTTTAAGATGCTTCAAATTATTCATAAACCATATACTGAATTCCTCCTCGTCACATATCAGAACCTCTATACTTTTCATACCATCAGTGGGTAAATCTATATCGAGGATGTCTTCGTCACAGCCAAATAGGTCCAGATTGAGGGTTTTCAACTGTTTTGCTTGCATTATATGCACTAGATTATTACCCTCGAATCCACCGCAGTAGGTTATTCTGAGGTTCTCCAGATGCGGAATGTAAGCAAAGTATTTTCCTGTAAAATGGCCAACGGGACTGAATGTCCTCAGTTGTGGAAAAGCTTTAATTATCATCAGAATGTCCGCATCTTTTAAATGGAATGACTCTGTTGAGAATCGAAAGTCGTGTGCATTCGGAAAAACGTAGCTGGTAAGTATTTCAAAGCTTTCCCGGTTGATCATATTGAGCCGTAAAACTTGTAATTTCGTGCGGATTATGGATAGATAGTGACGCAGATCTCCGCTGGATATTTCCAATTCAAACAGTGACAGGGAAACTTTAGATCCCCAAACTAAAGGCATTAGCGAGTAGAAACGAGAGTGCACTTTAGCCATGTTCAGCTGGGATTTCAAGTCCAGAAGACCAAAGATCGAAATCAGATCAGCGTCGGGTAGAAATTCCATTTTTCACTGAAAGTAAACGAAGAAGGAAATTCTTATTAGTAAATAACGTTTGCCATGTAAGACTAAGATTTATGCTGCTTAGTTTAGTACTCACATTCTCCTTGGAAACTGCACGAATCACATTTAAAAATATGATTTATTGAATTTAAATTTAAACAATGCACTGTTAACAGTCAAAAAGTGCTGTACGGCGCAGACAAGAGTTCCGTTAGATACCAGCGAGCGTGCTGTTAAGCGCAGAATAGCAGAGTGGCAACCCCAACATCTGTTCCATTGATAGCAAAAACAAAAAAGTTGCACATATCCTCACCGTTTTGCAAATTGTTTTCCCAGTTGAACGGCTTCGGCAAATATTCAATCGCACAAGATGCAGAAGTACGACAAGATGGAGAAGATCGGGGAGGGCACCTACGGCACCGTCTTCAAGGGGCGCAATCGCGACACAATGGAGATAGTGGCCCTGAAACGAGTCCGTTTGGACGAGGACGATGAGGGTGTGCCGAGCTCTGCCCTAAGGGAGATCTGCTTGCTGAAGGTATTTTTTGCTGTGGCCTTGCGAGACTCGAAACTGAATCTCTTTGCACCCACAGGAACTGAAGCACAAGAACATCGTCAGACTGATAGATGTCCTCCACTCGGATAAGAAGCTGACCCTCGTTTTCGAGCACTGCGACCAGGATCTGAAGAAGTACTTCGACAGCCTGAACGGAGAAATCGATATGGCTGTGTGTCGCAGCTTTATGCTCCAGTTGTTGCGTGGCCTGGCCTTTTGTCACAGGTGGGTGGTGTAGAGATACCCCCAGTCCTGTCGTTCTCACGTCACTTTATTTTAGCCACAACGTGCTGCATCGCGATCTGAAGCCGCAGAACCTACTAATCAACAAGAATGGCGAGTTGAAACTGGCCGACTTTGGCCTGGCCCGAGCGTTCGGCATCCCCGTGAAGTGCTACTCGGCTGAGGTGGTCACGCTGTGGTATCGTCCTCCGGACGTTCTTTTCGGGGCCAAACTATACACGACAAGCATTGACATGTGGTCGGCTGGCTGCATTCTGGCGGAGCTGGCCGATGCCGGGCGTCCGCTGTTCCCCGGCTCCGATGTGCTCGATCAGCTAATGAAGATATTCCGTGTGCTCGGCACACCCAACGAGGACTCTTGGCCCGGTGTGTCCCATCTCTCCGACTACGTTGCGCTTCCATGTGAGTATTCCGTGTGGCTTCCATCGTATTTTGTGCAATAACTGACGCTTTTCCCGTCCGCAGCCTTCCCAGCCATAACTTCGTGGAGCCAACTGGTGCCGAGACTCAATTCAAAGGGTCGCGATCTTCTGCAGAAGCTGCTCGTCTGCCGTCCCAATCAACGGATCAGTGCCGAGGCTGCCATGCAGCATCCGTACTTCACGGACAGCACCTCGTCTGGCCATTGAGGATATAACCACTCTCTCCATGCGACTGTTTCAACGTACTTTGATTAGCACTTAAGACAGACTCTTCTCTCGTACTAGTACTAGTTATAAATGTGCATAATGTCCTCAGTTCTTCAGTTCATATATGTATGTGTACCGTACCAAAGTAATGTCCCCGGGTACATTCAGTTTAAATAATTTACACGTATTTACAAGTATCTTAAGCTCCCAATTATAATGTATTGTCTCTAGTTTATTTGAAGTTTACTAGCGTAATAAATACACTTACTCAGAGATTGAGATTTTCCCCCCTTTTTGCTCGCACCGATAACAATCACAAAAATAAAGAACTGACTCAGGTTCTAGGTTTATTTGAGTCAGTGGTTCAGTGGAACCAACCGGTCGCGATAACGGGGAGTTTTCACGCACATATTTGAACAAGTCCTCCCCCTCTGATAAACATTGAAGAAAACCTGTGGACAGTGCACTACAAACTACGAGAAAACAGCTAAAATTATTAACAATTGTCTGGAAATAGAAGGCGCGGCTGAAAACAACTCCGACTTCGACTCCGTTTGATAGAGCTCCTTAAAATGACCTGGGGATTTGTGACCTGTGGCCCCAACGAGGCTTTGGTTGTTTCGGGTGAATATAACAACTAACATATACCAATTGAAACAATCAGTGAACAATCAAAGTGCCAAATTGGGAATGACTAAAGATTTCAAAATAAAAATAAATCGCACCCCACCCCTCATATGACGTCAGTGCTTATTGATTTTTATGTACAACTACTTGTGATGCCAAGAAGAAGAAGAACACTCCGATGCCGTGCGCGCGCATTGGCGAACGGCGTTGCCGACGATTTGATTCTTTTTGTTTGTAAACAAACCGAATTTTGTATAATCTCTTGCAGGATGCTGCTACATGAAGCCGCTCCTGGTGCCCGGCGGCCGTGCCTTTGTCTGGCCCTCCATCCAGCAGGTGCAACGGTAAGTAAATCGCACAAAAATATAAACGCTCTTGATTCGACTCTGACGAAACTCCTAAACCACTGTAGAATCTCACTCAACACGATGACGCTCCAGGTGGAGAGTCCCTGCGTGTACACTAGCCAGGGTGTGCCCATTTCGGTGACGGGCATTGCCCAGGTGAAGGTGCAGGGCCAGAACGAGGACATGCTGCTGACTGCCTGCGAGCAGTTTCTGGGCAAGACAGAGGCGGAGATCAACCACATTGCCCTGGTCACACTGGAGGGACACCAGCGGGCCATCATGGGCTCCATGACGGTGGAGGAAATCTACAAGGACCGCAAGAAGTTCAGCAAGCAGGTGTTCGAGGTGGCTTCTAGCGATTTGGCCAATATGGGCATCACCGTCGTCTCTTACACCATCAAAGATCTGCGCGACGAAGAGGTGCGGTCCTAGCGTTACACAATCCCTTAGCTAAATCGCACTTTATCCTTTGTTGAACTAACCAAACCATTAGAGTAGACTTAGTCACGTCACTTCATTTGTCTCCCGATTAACCTTTTGTATATGCGTATCTCTTGCATGTCCATTTGGAATTACGTTCACGACACAGGGCGACTCAAAGGTGCGTATAGCCTGCTGTGTAGACTATTTCTGCTCCCTACTGCCGGACGCCAGCCCCTGTGTCTTTGTATAAGTTTTATAAATGCTTTTACCATTGTGCTCTTGTTCCTTTTCAGGGCTATTTGCGCTCTTTGGGCATGGCTCGCACGGCCGAAGTTAAGCGAGATGCTCGAATTGGCGAGGCTGAGGCACGGGCCGAGGCCCACATCAAGGAGGCCATTGCCGAGGAGCAGCGGATGGCTGCTCGCTTCCTTAACGACACGGACATCGCCAAGGCCCAGCGCGACTTTGAGCTGAAGAAGGCCGCCTACGACGTGGAGGTGCAGACCAAAAAGGCCGAAGCCGAGATGGCATACGAGCTGCAGGCAGCCAAGACCAAGCAGCGCATCAAGGAGGAGCAGATGCAGGTCAAGGTGATCGAGCGCACACAGGAGATTGCAGTGCAAGAGCAGGAGATACTGCGTCGCGAGAGGGAGCTTGAGGCCACCATTCGCCGCCCGGCCGAAGCCGAGAAGTTCCGCATGGAGAAGTTGGCCGAAGCCAACAAGCAGCGTGTCGTGATGGAAGCCGAAGCCGAGGCAGAATCGGTAATGTTAAACCACAATCCATGATGCACTCCACCCGAGTAGACCAAACCTTATTTGTCATTCCTCTGTAGATCAAAATCCGTGGGGAGGCAGAGGCATTCGCCATTGCAGCCAAGGCAAAGGCCGAGGCCGAGCAGATGGCCCAAAAGGCCGAGGCCTACCGCGAGTACCGCGAGGCGGCCATGGTGGAGATGCTCTTGGACACACTGCCAAAGGTGAGGAGTGCACTATAAATAAGGAATTTTCAGAGACATTCATTAATCAATATCAATTCCCAACAGGTGGCCGCCGAGGTGGCTGCCCCGCTCTCGCAGGCCAAGAAGATCACGATGATTTCGAGCGGCCAGGGCGACATCGGTGCCGCTAAGCTGACCGGCGAGATCTTGCAGATTGTTAACAAAGTGCCAGAGCTGGTTAAGAGCATGACCGGCGTGGATATATCTAGGGTACGTTCCAATTCTGAATTTATCTAAGGGCAGCCGGCGGCAGCAGCAGGAGACGAGCGGCATGGCAACAGCAGCGGCCGGCAGAAAGAAACCTTATACAAATGGCAATCAAAAGACTTGGTAGAGAAAATGTAGCAAACGAATGGCAGCCTGGAGACAAGAACTATGTCAAATTCGGTTTCCTGTTTGATTTTGTGTTGATTTTCGTTTAATTTCCACTTGTTTTCTCTTCATTTCAGTCCGTGCATGCTGGCTAAGTATCCAAATCAAAACCAAAAAGATATCCAAATTACACAATTCTGTACTCTCCAAACAATTACTGCAAACCATTAACGATCGAATACGTCGAACCAATGATTGAATATATAAATGCATTTGAAGTTTGTTTATAAATTACATTTTTACACTTACACACAAACATATATACATACTTTATAACTTTGTGCGCTAACCAAATTTTTGCAAAATGTTTTTACACACACACTCTCACAGCGGAGCAAAGGATATTTTGTATTCAATGTATATGTATTTATACAAGTGTAAGGCACAAAACGTGGAATAAAAATATTTCCGTACATAAAACGAGACTTTCAATTTAAATTTTTAGTTGTGCGTGTTTTTACCTATCGAAACACACATCTATCGATATCACGATATCGCTCATCCCCGAAATGGATGGTTGATGGCACTAACCATACAGTATATAGATGTGCCAGTTCATACAACGAAAGTGTCACACACCGGCTTGCGCTATCCGTACCCCAGAGTGACGTCATCATGAGAGAGAGAGCGCAGAGAGAACATCTTTGCATGTGTTAGTACACACGCAATATGTTTCGACAAAAATATGTGATTGTATGTTTTTTCAGATTTTTTGAACTCTCTCAGGTCTGATCTGTTTTGCCACCAGCATGTTTTAGTGTATGGGTGCCCATGCATTCTCACGTACTTTGCGTGTGTGTGTTTACTATTGCTGGCCGCTAGAACTGAAATTTGAGTTTGGTTCTTGTTTCGGGTCTTTTGATGGACTGACCTACCGCCACAAAATAAATGAAGAATGGGCAGGGGGTGGGGGTATGGTACACTAGGGCGCGGGAAACAAAATAAAATCTGTTATTTGTTTGATTTATACCACAAAATATAAAATATTACAATAATATAATTACACATTTATTTCCTTATTTTAAACAGGTTGATTATAAATTATACAAATTATGCAAACGCCGTCGGTTCTCGACGTTTTTGTTTATTATAACTAAAACAATGATGTATCTAAATATACAATATAAGAAAATATATATATATACTTAAATAAATATGCATAAATATAAATGGAATTGGTTTTACATATATTTCAAATCAATTGTCAATCGCGCGCTTTCCGACGGGAATCTGCAAAGTACAAATTTAGATACCGGTCGCACCTTGAATACTCTCATGGACAATACCCATAAATTTTATAATTTTATAATAATTCAATTATAAAATATCTTATGTACATACATATGCACATAAATATTAAAGTTTATTACATTCGTATATTGCATGAGGGTTTTCAAAATTACTGCTGCCCGGTCAGCGTCGAGTCGGTGTGTCTCGAGAGAAAGAATACAAAAACAAAATATGAATCGTCTGCGTGCTGAAACCGTAGGGCAGCGTGGTCGCTGATGTCTTTGGCGCGGCACAGTGGGACTCAGCCGAAATAGTAAAAAAATTGTATGAGTGCTTTAGATAAATTCTAATAGAGAATTTTCCAATCGAATTTTCCCACTGTGCCGCTCCAAAGACATCGGCGATCCGCGACCACCGCTTCGACGGTGCTGAGGCTCGAGAGTCCAGAATTGCCGAACAGACGAAACCGATGGGCAGCGGGGTCGCGGTAGAGACGAAGTACAGGCAAAAAGGGAATTGGAAAACTAAATTTGTACTTTGCAGATTCCCGTCGGAAAGCGCGCGATTGACAATTGATTTGAAATATATGTAAAACCAATTCCATTTATATTTATGCATATTTATTTAAGTATATATATATATTTTCTTATATTGTATATTTAGATACATCATTGTTTTAGTTATAATAAACAAAAACGTCGAGAACCGACGGCGTTTGCATAATTTGTATAATTTATAATCAACCTGTTTAAAATAAGGAAATAAATGTGTAATTATATTATTGTAATATTTTATATTTTGTGGTATAAATCAAACAAATAACAGCTTTTATTTTGTTTCCCGCGCCCTAGTGTACCATACCCCCACCCCCTGCCCATTCTTCATTTATTTTGTGGCGGTAGGTCAGTCCATCAAAAGACCCGAAACAAGAACCAAACTCAAATTTCAGTTCTAGCGGCCAGCAATAGTAAACACACACACGCAAAGTACGTGAGAATGCATGGGCACCCATACACTAAAACATGCTGGTGGCAAAACAGATCAGACCTGAGAGAGTTCAAAAAATCTGAAAAAACATACAATCACATATTTTTGTCGAAACATATTGCGTGTGTACTAACACATGCAAAGATGTTCTCTCTGCGCTCTCTCTCTCATGATGACGTCACTCTGGGGTACGGATAGCGCAAGCCGGTGTGTGACACTTTCGTTGTATGAACTGGCACATCTATATACTGTATGGTTAGTGTTGATGGTCAATGGTCGTCAGAATAGTCTATAATCAGCACTTTTTCGTCGGCTGCCAGCCTGGTATCATAACGGCCAACGCCGACACGACAATGGCAGGTCTCGCAAGACATTTGCACGAAAATTTGGTGGTTTTAAGAAAGTTTTCGGTATTTTTTAGGTAAAAATTGAGCAGACGACATATTTATGGTATATTTTTTAAGTGAGACTGTATATTTTGGTATATTTCTGGGGGTCGGACGGTATATTTTAACGATATATTTTCTGGTCACACTGCAGACAACTCAATTGCACGAAAATTTGGTGGTTTTTAAGAAAGTTTTCGGTATTTTTTAGGTCCAAATTAAGCCGACGATATATTTACGGAATATTTTTTAGGTGAGACGGTATATTTTGGTATATTTCTGAGGGTCGGACGGTATATTTTAACGATACATCATCTGGTCACACTGCAGGCAACTCACTTGCACGAAAATTTGGTGGTTTTTTAAGAAAGTTTTGGTCATTTGAAGCGCAATTAAATAGGTTGAAGTCCCGAATTTTATAAATTTAAGTTGCACAGTTAATCCACAAACAGTTTAACATGGCAGACTCCAAGGGGTAAGTGTATAAACTGCAAATTTGCAACGCTCAAAATGAATGCCGACAAAAGAGCGCTGGCTGGCCATTCGCTGAGACAGCGCTTCAATTTCGCGCAGTCATTGGCCTGACGGAAAAAAGTACGCAAAGGCCACATATGTACATATGCGAAGGAAAGTTGCAAAATGCAATTGGAGACTTCTCCCACGAGCCGTGAGGGGTTTTCTTTCAAAGAAACAGACATATCATGGCTAAAACAAACTTATGTACTTACTTACATATGTATTTAGTCTTGTACTCTGTTGCGAAACTAGGCCAATGCTAAGAAAATCGCCATTTGCTGTCTGCTGCGATTGTTGTTGTCGGTGGCATGGGTATGGCTGGCCGCCCTTTGGTTTCTTTGTTTTCCTTGTTATTCCGGACTCTGCAAATGCTGCAGAGTCCATATGGATGATGGTGCGTCAGCGTGCTTTTATGCGTGTGGGGAGGGAGGGGAGACGGAAAAGACTGTTCTCGAATAAAAAATGGATCTGACCCTATCGAATTTCTGATTTGCTCAACAAAGTATTATAGGGAATAAAATGATATCCTAGTATGCCAGGAAATCATAATCATTCTTATCATTCGTCGGAGTTTACTACTAAAAGATCAGCCTAGGGATCGAATAAAAGCGCGCTCATGTCGGGAGGGAATAATGATCCTCGTCCGCTCTTTGGCGCTGGAAAATATAGCAAGAACGAGGGTAGCAACAACGCAAATAATTCCATGGATCCCGATGAGGATGCAACTAGGAAAGATGCTCCGTCATCGTCACAATCGCCGTGGACTGAGGCTGGGGGCAGTGGGGGCAACACAATATCAAATCCGAAAACCTCTCATTCTAAAATGTGCGACAGAGAATTACCACGCTCGAGAAAACCGTGTTTGCTAAATTTCTTGTTTCCCTTACTCTTTCCCCTCACAGCGATGATCTCGCAACGGCGATTTTGAAGCGAAAGGATCGGCCCAATCGCCTGATCGTTGAGGAGGCTCAGAATGACGACAACTCCGTTGTGTCGCTTTCGCAGGTAAGTCGTCGTCATCCCTGGGCCACGTCATCAACGTCTCATCAACTGAAACCTCAACATTTGACCTTTGTACTACAATGCTCTGGCTCTCTCCCCTTTCCCCGCCACCCCTTTCATTGACAGGCGAAAATGGACGAGCTGCAGCTTTTCCGCGGCGACACCGTGATCCTGAAGGGTAAGCGTCGCAAGGAGACCGTGTGCATTGTGCTCTCTGACGACACCTGTCCCGACGAGAAGATCCGCATGAATCGCGTGGTGCGAAACAATCTGTGTGTGCATCTGTCGGACGTGGTCTCGGTGCAGTCGTGCCCGGATGTAAAGTACGGGAAACGAGTCCGCATCTTGCCCATTGACGACACCACCGAAGGCGTCACGGGCAATCTCTTCGAGATCTATCTGAAGCCGTACTTCTTGGAGGCCTATCGGCCCATCCACATGGGGGATAACTTCATTGTTCGCGCTGCTATGCGTCCCATTGAGTTCAAGGTGGTGCTGACCGATCCCGAGCCGTACTGCATTGTGGCGCCCGAGACGGTCATCTTCTGCGATGGCGACCCGATCAAGCGTGAGGAGGAGGAGGAGTCCCTCAATGCGGTGGGCTACGATGACATTGGCGGTTGCCGCAAGCAGCTGGCCCAGATTAAGGAGATGGTGGAGCTGCCTCTGCGCCATCCGTCGCTCTTCAAGGCTATCGGTGTGAAGCCGCCGCGTGGCATCCTCATGTACGGCCCACCCGGTACCGGCAAGACTCTGATTGCCCGCGCCGTGGCCAACGAGACGGGTGCTTTCTTCTTCCTGATCAACGGGCCGGAGATTATGTCCAAGCTGGCCGGTGAGTCCGAGTCGAATCTGCGCAAGGCATTCGAGGAGGCCGAGAAGAACTCTCCGGCTATCATCTTCATTGACGAGATCGACGCCATTGCCCCGAAGCGTGACAAGACCCACGGTGAGGTGGAGCGTCGCATCGTCTCCCAGTTGCTCACCCTGATGGACGGCATGAAGAAGAGCTCTCACCTGATCGTGATGGCCGCCACCAACAGGCCCAATTCCATTGACCCCGCTCTGCGTCGGTTCGGACGCTTCGATCGTGAGATTGACATTGGTATT